CTCAACTCTTGCAGCACCGGCCACAGATGAATATGGCAAAAGCTAGTACCATAACGTGCAGATCAGAAAACACGATATCCAGGGACAACAAACAAAGCACACACATGGATGAAAAACCCTCAAACCCAGCAGGCAGCCTTGGAGGGTAACAGGGATGTCCATGTCTGATAATCCATGTTTCTGAAAGCTACAAGCATCAGAAGTCAAATAGCGTGCAAGTGAGTCAACCATGATGCAACAACGAATAGGATCCAATGAGAACTGGCCATCCAATCTGTTAATAAACGTCCAGAAGCATCAAACCCTCGGGAAGTAAAGCTGCTTCCTGCTCAATGATCCCATAAATTATTAGATGATAAAAGGTGTGCAGTACCACAGAATTAAACAGAATGAATCTTTATCTGCCATCCAAATGGAATTCATTCATACCTAAGACTCAGCTTTAAACAAGTTATAACAAAGTACAAAAACTTTATTTTTTTTTATTTAAAAACACAATGAACTTAACTTCCATCAACAAGTCTGACTTAAGGACCAAGTCCCAAGCACTACACTGATACTGATGCAACTGAAGAAAAGCCCCATACGACACTTAAACCCCTTAGAGAAGATAAGTCCTATGAGGATATGAAAACCCCAACCCAACAATAGGGAAAATAACCCAGAAACAAAATTGAAGCGAAATAATCTGTTAAGCACACACAGTATAAGAAGCATAAACACTATTGTAAAGCATAACGAAACTCGAAATATGAGGCTTTTCTACCTGTGCAAGACAACGAAGTCCCATTGAATGAGACACCCTACAAAGCACAAAAATAGGTTGGTCCTTGCAGAGGTGTAGAGATGGGATTGGTACCAGTCACACCAGTAAGGATGCAGGCAGACAGGATGCATGCTGAGCCATTGGTGACCCGAACTGCCATCTACTGGTGCATGTGGGTTTTTTGTATTGGGTAAACTACCATTTATAGTTTCCATTATCTCACTCTTTAATCATGATATGAACATCATTGAAGCTTGTTTTGCGTTGTCTATAAAAAACAACCGGGTGGTTTTACTAAGTTTTGGGTTGATTTCAGATACCATGCTCCTCTAACTTCTACGAGCACACAAAAAAACCAGCGTTGAATGTAATGAAAAGCCATTTTCTGGGCGAGACCCGGAGGCTCCCCGGAGCTATACCGGGCTGATGTGTATATATTAGACCGTTGCAACAGTCAATCTTAGGAGTTCTAGGCCTATCAGGGACCAGAGCCAGAACCTGGTCCCCTCAAGAGAGGCACGAGGAGCAATGGCCTAAAGACACCCCTGTGTAATTGGAAGCCGTCTTTGTCTGCCATCGACCAGGTCAGGCACCCAGAAAGGTAGGAATTCCAAAACTACTACTGATAAAAAAAAATTGCAAACTGAAAGCTGAACAAGCAACAGAACTCTCCAATCAAAACCAAGGAAACAAGTATGACGTCACCATAAACGCTGCGCATCCGCCTGCGCAACTTCCCCCCCCCCCCGGGAGGGAAAAGGGGAGGTGGGGTCTAAGACCTTTATGCCGGCAACTCTCCTCAGTTCAGAGGCCGAGTATCAAAAACGCGAAAAAAAACGCCGACCGAAGGGGAGGGAGGGATGCCAGGGAGCCTCTGGGTCTCACCCAGAAAATGGTGTTTCATTACATTCAATGCTGGTTTTCTGTGGAGAGCCCCTTCGGCTCCCTGGAGCTACCTAACCAAAGATAAAGAAAAAGAGCGACTTACCTGGGAGGCGGACGTCACTCGTTTCTCAACTCGAAGTCGAGACAACTGGCTGCAACCTGCGACACAAGGCTACACGCGCCCGAGAAGGGCCAGGGACATTAACGAGATACCGTGCGGCCAGGACTCTGTTTGACCTCCAAAAGCCCCGTGCCCAAATGTCAGCCCAGGACATATTCTCAAAAACAGCAGCCAAAGCTGTGAACTTACGAACGTCACGGGCACGGCGATAGACCGCAGGGTGGCTGGACCGAATAATCCTGCGGATGACCTGGGAGACCCGCACCCTGGAACAGAAAAGAAGGGAAACCGGGTCCGCTCAAAGCACGTGCCCTGCCTTGGAAGCCGTGGCACGCAGATAGCGGCGAAGAGCCGCAACCGGACACAAAACATGATGCACCCCGGCTGAACCAATCAAGCATCAAAAACCTAAGGACCCCTTTGGAAAGCAGCAGACTCATTCTTCGCCAGAAAAGAAGGAAAAGGCTACAAACGAACAAAACGACCACCAGGACCGAAAGAGCAGAAACCCTTGCGCCGGAGGAGAGCATGAAGCTCCTCAACCCGAACCCCAGAGGCCAACGCCAACTAGAAAAGAGCCTTACAAAAACAGTCCTGAACAGAGGGGGCCACCACAAACCGAGGAGAAGAGAGAAGAGAAGAGAGAAAAAAAGAGAGCACCCGGTCCAACAACCAGGACAGCTCAGGCAGCACATGAGCAGGCTGGATGTGAAACAACGCCCAAGAAAGCTTGCAGAACGGAGCAGAAGTGACATCCACCCCGTATGCAAGCTGCAGTGGCTCCGCAGCGCCGCACAATACAAGGCGACAGTATAGGAAAACCCTTCCCCCTGTAACAACAAGCCCTGTGCTGAGGGTACCAACACCTAAGCGGGGTCAAACGGGGCCCAAGCACACCAAGTCAACTCCTCCAAACCCCTGGGAACCTCCAAGTCAGGACCAGGGCCGAGCTGTCCTGGATCCAAACCCTCTGCCTCTGGAGAAAAGGCAGAGCCCGGTGGAAAAGCCGGGATAAAGGGGGCCCGCTGGCAACGCCTAAGGGCAGGAGGAACAGGCTCGAATGCCTCCGCCGCCGATCTGAAAGGGGCATTCTCCGAAGCTGCCCGAAACTCGCCACCAGGCAAACCCTGCCCCGACTCTGAAACCCTCAGATGTTTGGGAGCCGGGAGCAGGGGAATGGGGGGGGGGGAACAGGATGAACCACAGCAGGCGAAGGACTAGGGGGTGCAGATGAAACCAAAGTCGAGGCGACTAACACCCCCACATCCGGGTCCCTATAACCAAAGCGGGGCAGCTGCGGGGCATCCGGAAAGGCAACCAACCTTGCGTGTTGCTGCAACCTAAACCATGCATGCAATGCCAAAGCTGCTTGCACCCTAATATCAATATCATTGGACTGGGTGAATTGGAGTACAAACAAGGAACACCACTTGTAGGACTCTGGGTCAAAGGTGTCATTGACCCAACAAGCAGCATGGCGGAGACAAAGACGGCGAGTGTCACCCTGGGTCAAGGAGACAGATCAACCTTCAAACTCGCACAAGGCGAGGTGGGACTCTGAGGTCTCTTCCATCGGACCACTGAGCCCCCAAGGAGGTTTCCAAGGCCCTTAGGCTGACTGCTAAAGGAAGCCCAGGTGAGGTACTGCTAACCGGTTATCCCAGAGCTACCTAGTAAACAAACTATAAGCTGAACCCCTGTGACGTGTACAAGCACAGAGACCTAGTGGGGGCCACCAAAATCCTACAAGTAGTCCTACCGCCACACCAGGCAGACCCCCGCCAGGCAAAACAAAACAAAATTAAAAGAAAAACCCCGCAAAAGCACAACGTCTCCAGGGGAACAGAACTGCCTGCTATGCGTATATATCAGACAGCTGCACAGTACCTCACGCCTCAACCAGCGATGAAACTACCTCCTACCCAAGGGAAAACAGGAGCAAGAACCACCCCAGCTGAATCCCAAGGGTGGGCAATCACTGAGCAGCAACAGAACCACAGGGAGGTAGTTCCCAAACGGCTAAGGGAAGATAACCCTGAAGTCGCAAGGGCAGAACTTACAGGGCACCTAGGAAAGGCAGCCCTAGGTGCATGCAGCACCAGTACTCTTGTGTTACTCCTGGCTCGCACGATACCAAAACTGAACACCACCACTGCACTGCAGCACTGCTCAAAGGATGGAGCCAGAGTCGATCAACTGTTCGCTCTCACAACAGCCTGTTAACTGAGGAGAGTTGCCGGTGTATGGGTCTGGGGACCGCCCCTGTCCCCCTCCCGGGGAGGGGGGAGAGGTTGCGCAGACGGATGCGCAGCATTTGTGGTGACGTCATACTTGTTTCCTTGGGGAGTTCTGTTGCTTGTTTGGCTTTCGGTTTGCAGTTTATTTGATCAGCAGTAGTTTGTTTTGGAATTCCTACCTTTCTGGGTGCCTGACCTGGTAGATGGCAGACAAAGACTGCTTCCAATTACACGGGGGTGTCTTTAGGCCATTGCTCCTCGTGCCTCTCATGAGGGGGGGGCCAGGCTCTGGATCTGGTCCCCCGTAGGCCTAGAACTCCTTCGATTGACTATTGCCACAGTCTAATATATTCACATCACATCAGCCCGGGGAGCTGAAGGGGCTCTCCACAGAAATTCAGGTGTTTGTAAGCCTATGCAAATCCAGAAGCCATGTAGTTTCATGGTTGTCTTGGTAGCACTGCAGAGCAACTAAGGACCAGCCCAGGAAAAACATTCATGACTTTACACCTCTAAAAAATTTATTTCAAATTAACACTGATGAAGATTCTTTTAATGCACTTCAGTTTTGTGATTCAACAAAAATTTATTAGCAGTCTGAAGCTAGTGATACCCATTAGCAGCAACTATTCTTATGTGATAACTAATAAATTTGGTGCCCAATTTAATATATCCATGTTTTGGCATGACAGCAGTCAGTATATTGTCTAAACCATGAACTATAACAATGAGTAACAAAATACACTTATCCAGCTATTGTTTCCCATGTACATCTAATGGAGAAAATTAAATGAGCTTTGTAAAGGAAAATTACAACACAAAAAGAGCAGCGACAAACAAGCATACTGCAAGGATCAGCATCAACACTCGAATATTACTTGTAATAATAAAAACCACAAGAAAATAATCCGCAGTGTGTAAACTGCTTTCTAACTAAACACCATCACCACAACAACCACTACTAAACATACAACACTTCCACATCATCTACCTGAGCCGTGTGGTGTGGTGTTTCCAGCAGTGCCTGTTGCAGATGCTGTAGAAACCGGCACAGAAGATGAACCATTATTAGGACGTTTGGCAGGTGGTGGCGAGTCGTCGTCATCTTCCTCACTATCGGTTAGTGTGATAATCTCAGGCTCTGCAGATTTTTTCTTGTTGTTCACCTCTTCTACAATGGGGGCTGTCAAAATATGCTAGAATAAGTTACCTTACAATTGTAAATCTGTCAACCCATTAAGTGTCAATCTTATTAAAAAAAAAAAAAAAAAAAAGGAAGCCGGTGAAGCAGCAACCGACGCAAGGACACTGGGGTTTGAACCCAATGATTGTGAGACCAGCGAAGAGGCCGTTCTGAATATACCAGAACAGCCTCCAAAGCCAACTTTGCCCAGTCTGGTGGGCAAAGTTCAGGCCCTCAGGATACCTTCTTCTAACATAGTATTTTCTCTTAAGATGCCTTCTTGCAGTCGCCTCATTATTGTACAATTTTCATTAAATCAAAATGGGGGCAGTACCTTAATGTTTCAATATATTATTTTTGGTTGAGTTTCTTGTCCATGTTTTTATTAAATTATATTAATTTACTTATTGATAAATTATTTTAATTTTATTTTAAACTTAAACAAAACCCATTCTTTATAGTTTTCTTTATTGACATTATCTCATTTCCAGAGACTCATGCTACAGCTAAGACAACTCAATCCCAGCAACCCTGTTTGGGGTTGAGGGAAACCAGGCAAATCAGCAGTGTAGGTTACTTAGGTAGGGAGCGAGTATGGAATTAATAGTAGTGTGCATTTAATGCAAATTGAATAAATGAGGGCAAGAGAAAAGAACTGAAAGTAAATTCTATACTTAAGAAAATAGTTCAACACTGTACACCTTAACTTCAGATATAGGCGGGACCAGAGAGCCAGAGCTCAACCCCCGCAAGCACAATTAGGTGAATACAGGAAAGCAGACTAATGCGATATATATCAATGAGAAAATCCTGAGAAATGAGAAATTAACTCCTCTGTCTTCGCTCAAGTGAAGATCGTACGGTCCTACTTGAGGACTGTATGTATACCTTACACTAGCTTTAGGTGGGACTTCCAGACTTCCTGTGATTTCAGTAGAAATCTGGTTGTAAGACTTATAGTCACAAATCAGCGGTGGAACAGTGGTAGAGTATGTGGCTGGCAACGCCTAGGTCAGGGGTTTGCGTTGCCTCACAGCCCCAGTGGATTTTCTCATTGATATATATCAAGTTAGTGTGATTTTCTGTGTATATCAATCAGCATTTTTGTGGTCTAAGATCAGATTGCAACTTTTGTTAGTCAAAGATTAGCATTATAAAAAACCAGCGTTGAATTTAATGAAATGCCATTTTCTGGGCGAGACCCGGAGCTTATCCAGGCCGATATGGAACCATTAGACTTTGGCATCGGTCAGTGTGAATGGAGTTCTTAGGCCTACCGGGGACCAGGAGCCAGAACCTGGCCCCCTCAGAAAGGCACGAGGAGCAATGGCCTATAGAACTGCACATGTGATCTAGAGCATTCTATGTCTGCCATCGACTGGGTCCGGCACCCAGAAAGGTAAGCATCCCAAAACAAACCCCTATTCTGGTTGAAACTACTACTAAAAGTGAAATGAGTGGACAGAACTCCCCAAAGAAAAACAAGCATGACGTCACGACATTGCCGCGCTGCCGTCTGCACAGCTCCCACCTCCCTGGGAGGGGAGGTGGCATCAATGTTGGGAGGACAGAGTAAGGAAATTAAATGTTATAAAAGGATGTGGAATATAGGTCAGTAAATCACAAGAATAAGTTTATTGAGATGGTTATATCATATTGAAAGAATGGGTGATTAACCAATAAACTGCTCCTGAATCCCTCAAGCAATAGGGGGCCAATGCACCATACTGCTATGGGAGAGTAGATATGCCCAATAATATTCGGAAATCCTAAAGAGTGTATGTAGACGTCATTCAAAACTTGAGACCTCTAACAATCGTTAGAAATATTTAACAAATAACCTGAAAGATTAAGCTTCCTATCTGGAAATTAATACTAAAGAAATTGACATCATGTTAGGTGCATCATCATCGATTTACTTACAATCCATGGTAGGAATCATTGACACCATGTAAAATTTCAAAGACTTATAGATCTGGAAAATATTAGTGATGAGAAGAAGTCTATTTTATAAATAGCAACCTTGAAAAGTTCATCACAATTCTGCAAAAAACTAAAATGATTTGTCCCCCCCCCCCCCCACCATTAGAAAGAGATTTTTGTAAAATGCAGAAAGGAACAATGGTTGTATTTTTTATGTATACCAGAAAATTTACCTAATTTAGTAGCATTTAGAGGGGTTTAGGCAGCATATTTGAGTGAGCTTGAAAATGTGAGGGGTACGAAGAACCATAGTCATAGTGAAAGACTATGGCTATCTAGAAGCTGAGGAAGGAAGCTGAGATTGATTGTGTAACAGCACAAAAACACAATGCTGTTACTTGTTAAAAGCACAAGTAGCAGTTGTTTATTTATTATGCACCCCATATCCATCCTATGGGTAGTAGTGGAAAGGATTACAGAGGCACATACTGTAATGGACTTAGGGACTGAACCCAAAATTAATTTAGCTAAGCAAGTTGTAGCCTTGATAGGCTATTTACAAAATTTACTGAATAGTACATTATTACATCAACAATGGGCTCGAGACTGACCACAAGTAGTCTCTCTAAATTAAGCAACTTACATATGTGGAGAGCTAGTGTCATAACTGTTATGTTTATAATGAAAATGCTCCCCCCCTCTCCCAACTAGTAGGCAGCGGTGGAAAGGTTACAATCACCCACATTTACTACCTACAGTTAGCAAACTGGGAATATTTGGCTAAAATTTCTGGTAGGAAATCATTTTGAATTAAATATTTACATATTTCTTGAACATTTGCTAGAGTTGTCTCTGAATTCATGTACATTTTCATACTCCATCACATAGTAATGGAGGGTGTGCGATTAATTTTGTTGCTACAGTTTACATTTTGTCTACATCAGCAGGTAATGTAAACTCCTACAGATACTTATAGCAAAGTCTAAGCCAAGCAGCAATAACACCTAGGAGTCTGCTGATTTTATTGGATGATTCACAGATGTGTGGCTCTTCTTGCGTGATGGTGTCATTAATGATAGATGGAATTACTAGTGTAGATTTCACATGGAGGTAGCAGGCAAAAAGATTTCACAGAATCAGTTCGAAGAGTTAATTTTTTCATTTTACAGTAACAACTCTCATACAACACTTTGCACCTGGCTATACAAAGTAAAGGGAGTGCTGCTGTGTATGTATGGTATTGTTGATGCTGCTTCTTTGTCATGCTATAGAATTCAATGTGGATGATATGGCAAGTGCTAAAATATCTCTTCATTCATGTCTTTGTATTTGCTCTTCTATTTCTCCTGGCCTGATAACACCTCTTGCTGTGAAAGTGAGAAATGGTGGGGGGAAGGGGTTGATAACAAAAATGAAAGAGTTTAATAAAAATTATTAGGAATCCATTTGATATAATAAAAAAATTTGTCATGAGTGACAAGTCAAATACTTGTACAGAACTATTCCCCTAGTCCTGTGTATACATGACCGAATTATCTACAGCTAATGTAACCTGAAAAATGTTACTGAAGTGATTCAGTATACATTCTAACAAAAATGGTGGTATGATACTTACCATCATCTTGATCTCGAGTGTCATCATCACTATCGTCGCTCAATGTCTCTACAGCTACTTCAGATTTCCGTTTCTCCACCTCGGGTTCTTTTTCTTTTTTTGGCATGAGAGGTGTCCAACCTCCATCTTTATGAAGTGTTACTTCATTGCAGCTGGAATTCTGTTGGAGTACTTCCTGAAAGTACCTACAGCAAAAAATTCATAAAAAGATTAATCACATTTAATGTACATAAGAGTAAGCCAAAATGATATATATTATTCACTGCTACACTGCCCTACATATGGCCTTGTATTCAATAATAATATTCTTATTATTAGCATTATTATTCAATAATAATTATGAGATGATACTGAAAATTCATGATGCTGTTGACCCTTCAGATACTGTACTCACATTGGTCGGCAAAAACTGTATGACATGCCTTTGAAAACCCTTCAGCTACAAGTTTTTAAATCCAGTTGAATAGAGCACCAACTTGATCATCATAATATCAATACAGGTTTCACACCAGTACTGGATGGATTATTTAATTGATTCTTTACACAACAAATTAATGATGAATGCGCAAGCCAATGCCAGTTTTCAAAACAATAGCAAAACAATATATGGAATTTTCTTAATGCCTTTTTCCAATCAAGTTAGTTACAGGATAAAAGCTATGCTCGTGGTGTTCTGTCTTCACAGTACTCTTTTTATATGACACTGAAGGTTTTTGCATCCACTGTGCCTCCTCACTTATCCCTTAAAGGGCGCAATACATATACAGTATAGCTGGATTGAGTAACTATTGCGGAAAGGCGCACCATATATATGTATGGTTGGGAATACCGCATAAGATTTGAAAGTCCCAAAGCTACACGGGGTTCATATCAGCTTCCTCAGGGCTCTAGTAAACATATGCCATTTATCAAAAAAATTGTGGGCAACATTCCCAGGTGTGAATGCCTCAGTACTGAGAGAGCTACCAAGGCTCGCGCACGTAGCATGACCTAACAGCACTGCTGTTCAGCTTGTGACCACAGCATCGCCTAAAAATGTCAAAATTTGTATGAAACTGCTATTATTTAGCGATGATAGTATTACAGAAGACCCCTGACTGTGATACAAATGACCAGGATTCTGATAATAGCAGGACTGTGGTGATAATTAGTGCTGTGTGTAGTATGATGGGAAGAGTAATCTTGATGAGGAAGGGAGGTAGCGTGGTCTGCTGTGTGGCAACCTGTGTATAAAGTGTAATAACGGCAAAAGGAGTATGTTGGGAGGAGCCATTTTGGTCAGGGAGGTTATCTTGAGATGATTTCGGGGCTTTTAGTGTCCCCGCGGCCCGGTCCTCGACCAGGCCTCCACCCCCAGGAAGCAGCCCGTGACAGCTGACTAACACCCAGGTACCTATTTTACTGCTAGGTAACAGGGGCATAGGGTGAAAGAAACTCTGCCCATTGTTTCTCGCCGGTGCCTGGGATCGAACCCAGGACCACAGGATCACAAGTCCCGCGTGCTGTCCGCTCGGCCGACCGACTCCCGCAGATGAGGTGGCATCATTTGCTGGCTGGTGTGTGATTTGTCATGCTGTGTAGGATGGCCACTATGCTGTTTGGACACCATACCAGCTTAGTTGTAAAGTTATGGTGAACAAAACATGTAGATACAGTACTTAAATATAACGTGTGTGTATATAGTGTAATAACAACACAAACAGTATGGTGGGAGGAGGAATGTTAGTGAGGGAGGGAGGTAACATCAGCTGACTGTGTGTAGCAATCTCTGCTATTGTCTGGACTCTTCATACCAGCTTAGTGGTTTGTTATGGTGAACACAAATGTAGATTCTTATATATAACTTGTGTATATAGTGTAATAACAGCACACAGTATGCTGGGAGGATGCATTTTTGTGAGGGAGGGAAAGACGCACTATCGTCTGCTTGCTGCTGTGTCACCTGTCATGCAGTTTTTTGTGGCCACAATGTTGTTTGGACACCATACCAGCTTAGTTGTACAGTTATGGTAAACAAAATATGTAGATACTTATATATAATGTGTGTATATAGTGTAGCAACAGCAAAAACAGTATGGTGGGAGGAGGAATGTAGACGAATGAGGTGTTGGTGAATGAAGGAGGGAGGTAGCGTCTGCTGGCTGGTGTATGGCAGCCACTCTTGTTGTTTGGACTCACCATACCAACTTTGTGGTTCACTATGGTAAGCACACTGAATAATATTACTCTAAGAAAACAGAGAAAAAGTCAGATATTGAAATAATTAGGTAATAATATCTTTGTGGCAACTCCTGCCTGAGAGTTGCCTGACAGCGCAGGTGGAGCACAGTAATAAGATTACTGGTGCAGAAAACACAAATATAGATTTAAATAGTGAATAAAAAGAGTAAGATAATGAGTAGATATATTGAATGAATGTATGAGGCAATGTGGTATTAATGCAAATTACACACAAGAAATAGCAGTGAAAAAGAGCACTCCAGACTCAGTCCACATGAAGCAGACAACATATAGTGGTGAACAATGTGTTGGTTCTGTGATGCTACTAAGGGTTGTAGTCTCAGAGACCAAATGTCACTTAATATATTAAACTCTTTCATTAAGATTGTTAATTATGTTCCGTAGAGCAGGTAGGACTGCAGTAGGACTAAGTTTCAAATGAACGTGGACTTTAAACAATTCTTACTCCTACCATCACCTCTACTGATCAATATTATGTAACCTAAACAGTTGCCACATGAGACTGATATTATCTTCCACCAGTATTCTGAGAATATCTATTTGAGGTAAATTTGATGATGGGTGGCAAATAGAATTGAACCTTTATTGTTCATTATGTCATTAACATGTCAACACCCATTTTCTATTTTACAATTCCAAGAGGTTTATTTGGCAAATTAAAATATTCCACACTATTTTAATTAAACAGACCATAACTCATGCATCACAACATGGATAAACAAAAAAAGTTCCTTCATTAAAAGGTATGGTTAATTTAATTTCTTTTATAGTATTATATATCTATCTTTCCTGGCCCGTCAAAAGAGAGATTAGCGTACTGGAATAGTGGCGATGAAGATAAACTGGGGATGCTGTCCATTTAATGGAGGAATAATGATTACAAGACTATTTTGTCAATCTTTAACCCTTGGACAGCAGCTATGAAAAATTGGCAATTTTGCACACTGCGCAAAAAAATATAAAATTCTTAAACATAGTTGTTCATAATAGAATTATTAATTTCCACAGAAAATGTAAGAAAAAAAAAGAAGTGAATATTTAGCTATTTACTGGGTGGAGGTACTCAGAGAGGTTGCATGGTGGCTATGTGGTGTGGTATATATCAACACACGATGCCAACTTTGCTGACACTGAGGTATGCGAGATACAACTCTTGTGTTATCCTCCGATTTTCATTGCTTGTTTATCACTTGTTTCTCTTCATTCACAAGTGTTTGTGTTGAATCACTTGATAAATCATGTAATTCACATAACACAATGTTTCAAATGAAGATTAATTTACTTGGTAGACTTCATTAAAACTATATATAGTAAAAATAATATTCACATAATATACATGGGTGCCGGGGCTCTAAGCGATGACATAGGGCCCAATAGGCCCCATATGGGTGACAGTATAGATTGACAGGAGTGTAAGCCACCAATGTGCCACCCATGAATGACGGCAGGCTCCTAGTATGTGTAACGCTTGATAATGGTTCAAACATGATTGGCTTACCTGGTATACCTCATTACAACCATATAGAGATGTGAAACCTTATGAACATCATTGGTATACATATGTAATTATGATCAAATTTTATACAATAGCCGCATTTACCTAGTAATGTAACCATGAAAGAGTAGCAGGATTTTTTCATGGGTCAAAGAGCTATTATATCCTTATTTACATCATACAAGTAAAACCCAGACAATAATAGTTTAAATCATCATACAGTGATAACTGCATTACCCCACGAATCAACATATGGTGATAACCGCTGTTTAAAAGTTATCAGCCTATGCCTTATGCAGTCAACTGAAAATAAAAAGAAGCAATTGATAAAACTAACCCATCAATCACTAAACAGTCATAAACAGCAGGTTTGTCACAAACTGGGCAGGTCCAGGTGGGCTTCCGTTCATTCATTTGAAGGTAAAGAGATGCATCAAAGCATTGGAGGTGATCACAGGTACTAGCACGACAAGGTAGCATCATGCGCATCTTTCCGAGTGGACACATTAGTGAACATCGTAGAGAAGTTGTAGCTATTTCACAATCTGCATCTTCCTGTAGTTTTTGTTTTACTGAAAAATAATGAATTTAACATTAAATTAATACTTACTCTTCCTACTTACTACAACCAAATACGTCCTCCTGAATCCTGTATTATAATTATCATTATTATTGTCAATATTCATTCAGATACATTTCTAATGCAACAAACAGATTTTAAACCCAATCTAATGTGTGTGTTGGAGATTAAAAACACTCCTAAACCATTGTATGAAAGTCAGGCTGGGTCAACTATTAGTTCTGTAACATTTTCCTGTTGATATTTGGATTAAACAATCTTTATGCACAAAATGGAATAAAACATGCAGGAAATCTTAACCTGCTAAGCATATTAATGAATTTCATGAATATTATAAAGTTGAACAGATGCCAACTTATACTGAAAATTCCCAAAATAATGCTGGACATTACCTACATTTACCCAATTTTTCTCACAAATACAGAGATACATTAAAAAAATAATTACAATCACTAACCTACAATTCAAGTATAACCTCCTTTATTTAAACAGTTTAAGTGCAAATTACAAATTAGTATTTGCTAAATATATTTGGTTTGGTTTCACCCAAACTCCAATCAATCATTTACTTCAACTTATGACCTCTTGACACCTCCCCCTCCCCCTCCCTCCCCCGTTTGACGTTCAGTACCTTCCTCCCTTGGGTAAAAGTGACCATGTCTTTTTGGGAATAAAATATGCAATGCGTTATAATCTGGAAGAAAACAAGGAGGTTGAAGCAGTTGAAAAACCTGACTTCAGGAGACCACATATGGCTATCTTGAGGTTATCTTGAGATGATTTCGGGGCTTTAGTGTCTCCTCGGCGCGGTCTTTGACCAGGCCTCCACCCTCAGGAAGCAGCCCGTGACAGCTGACTAACACCCAGGTACCTATTTTACTGCTAGGTAACAGGGCCATAGGGTGAAAGAAACTCTGCCCATTGTTTCTCGCCGGTGCCCGGGATCGAACCCGGGACCACAGGATCACAAGTCCAGTGTGCTGTCCACTCGGCCGACCGGCTCTGGCGACCTTTGACATTTTTTTTAGTGAGTATAATTGGACAGACTTGTTGCTAGGCAAGGAAGTAAATGAGACGTATGTCAAGTTTTGTGAAATATATGATAAAGGCACAAAAAAATTTATACCAAAGCAGAGATGCAGAACTAGGAAACAGGATTGGTTCGACAGAAATTGCGAGAGGGCCAAAGATCAAAAGACACAAAAATGGAATCAATATAGGAAGAGGCTAAACCCCCCAAACATACCAGCGATACAAAGATGCGAGGAACAACTACACGTCAGTGAGGAGAGAGGCAGAAAGAAATTTTGAAAAAGGAATTGTGGACAAATGTAAAACAGAACCAGGTCTATTCTATAAATTCATAAACAAATTGTAGGTAAAGGATAATATTCAGAGGTTGAAAATAGGAAATAGATTCACAGAAAATGAAAAAGAAATGTGTGAAACATTAAACGAAAAGTTCCAAAGTGTTTTTGTACAAAATGAAATCTTCAGACACAATACAAATTCCAGAGAGCAACATAGAGCACATAGAGGTGTCTAGAGATGAAGTAGAAAAATGCTTGAGGAGCTAAGTAAGAACAAAGCAGTTGGTCCAGATGGAGTTTCACCATGGGTTCTGAGAGAATGTGCACCTGAGCTCAGCATTCCACTTCAACTGAATTTTCAGGCTTCCCAGTGTAAAGGAGTTGTAACTGATGAGTGGAAAAAGGCTAACATCATTCCAATCTACAACAGTGGCAGCAGAGAAGACCCCCTCAATTATAGACCTGTATCATTGACAAATGTAATAGTCAAAATTTTGGAAAAAATAATAAAAACTAAATGGATAGAACACCTGGAGAGAAATGATATAATATCAGACAGACAGTATGGTTTTCGATCTGAAATATCCTGTGTAACGAATTTAATCCGTTTCTATGATCGAGCTACAGAGATTTTACAGGAAAGAGATGGCTGGGTTGACTGCATCTATCTGGACCCAAAAAAGACTTTTGACAGAGTTCCACATAAGAGGTTGTTCTGGAAACTGAAACATATTGGAGGGGTGACAGGTAAGCTTCTAACATGGATGAAAAATTTCCTGATAGAAAAATGAGGGCCGTAATCAGAGGCAATGCATCGGATTGGAGGAATGTCACAAGTGGAGTACCACAGGGTTCAGTTCTTGCACCGGTAATGTTCATTGTCTACATAAACTATCTACCAGATGAAATACAGAATTATATGAACATGTTTGCTGATAATGATAAGATAATAGGGAAGATAAGAAACCTAGATGATTGTCATATTGTCATACCCTTCAAGAAGACATGGACAAAATAAGTACAGTATATGGAGCACTACTTGGCAAATGGAATTTAATGTGAATAAATGCCATGTTATGGAATGTGGAACCCCACACAACCTATAAATTATGTGAGAAACCTTTAAAGAATTCTGACAAAGAAAGGGATCTAGGGGTGGTTCTAGATAGAAAACTGTCACCTGAGGACCACACTAAGAACATTTGTGCGAGGAGCCTACGCTACACTTTCTAACCTCAGATTTGCTTTTAACACTTTCGCGCTTTAGATTAGAGATAACTCGTCGCTGTTTTTTCTTACGATTCCGCATAACTGCCTAGTTTTCTCGTCCATCGAAAAAATATTTCTATAAATTCCATTTTTTAACCGAAATGGATGGGGATACTTTTGTTTTGTAGAGAATTTATTCGAATTTTCTGGTACAAGAATGAATATTATATCACATAAACTTCTATGAGTAAAAAAAAAAATACACAAAGTATGTTTGGGGGTGTGGCGAGCGTGTGGCAGTGGGTTCCCTTTAGCCGTTGATATATCCAACACGTGGGAAATATTTGTATGTGTTATGTATATGTCTGTGTAGGGAATTTTACTGCGATCACTGTCATACAAATTATAAAATGTTTCAACAAGTATAAACATGACAAACATCAAACGAACGAAAACAATGCGTTCGTTTCTGCCGCGAACGCATACTAAGCAACGTGGTTCTATATTTGGCGCTTCTCTTACACATGCTTTGTACAAATGTTATACAGTTCATCTTATAGAAAATTTTATTGCGAACACATTGGTATAAAAAAGAAATACGTACATAGAAAAGTAGGGTCAGGAAACGTATAAACTTTCCAAGCATGATTTCCCCCCTGTGTTTTCGCCAGTGCGCTCGCGGCTAACTACTCTCCACTTCACACACTCTTGCGGGTGGGCAATTCATATGCATATGTCCGTATAGAGAATTTTATTGCGATTCCAATGATACCAAAATTAGCGATGTAGGACAACTGTAGGCTTCGCAACCATTAAGAGTGGAAACATTTTGTTGCTGTTTGGCGCTCTCGGTGAGTGATCTGCATAGTTTTTTATTTGGTGTTGATACTCCTTATGCTTGGGTGGCATTTTATAGGTAAGCTTTTATAGACAATTTCATTGCGAACACAGTGATACCAAATTTAAATACGTGCGCCTTCAATTATTGTCAGGACAGTCAAAAGAGTGTACACTTTTTCGGTCTTACCGCGTAGGCGCGCGAAGTGCCGAAAGCATCTGGGGTATTGTTTTTTTTTGAGCGCCGAGAGCGCGAAAGTGTTAAATACATGGATGATGAAATACTAAAAAAATTATTCATGACTTTTGTAAGACCAAAGCTAGAATATGTGGCGGTTGTATGGTGTCCATATCTTAAGAAGCACACATCAACAAACTGGAAAAGGTGCAAAGACACGCCACTAAGTGGCTCCCAGAACTGAAGGACAAGAGCTACGAGGAGAGGTTAGAGGCATTAAATATGCAAAAACTAGAAGATAGAAGAAAAAGAGGTGATATGATCACTACATACAGAATAGTAACAGGAATTGATAAAATTGATAGGGAAGAATTCCTGAGACCTGGAACTTCAAGACCAAGAGGTCATAGATTTAAACTAACGAAACAAAGCTGCCAGAGAAATATAAGAAAATTCACTCTTGTAAACAGAGTGGTAGACGGTTGGAACAAGTTAGGTGAGAGGGTGGTGGTGGTCAAAACCGTCAGTAATTTCAAAGCGTTATATGACAGAGTGCTGGGAAGACTGGACACCACGAGCGTAGCTCTCATCCTGTAACTACACTTAGGTAATTACACACATAATCAGAGGCAATGTATCTGACTGGAGGAGTGTAACAAGCACAGTCCGGCAGGGTTCAGTTCTTGCACCAATAATGTTCGTCGTCTACTTAGGTGAAGGAATACAGAATAATATGAACATGTATACAAATGATGCTAAGATACTGGGAAGGATAGGAGACACAGACGATTGTCATTCCCTTCAAATTGATCTAGATAAAATAAGTGCGTGGAGCACCCTCTGGCAAGTGGAGTTCAATGTGAATAAATGCCATGTTACGAAATGCGGAATTGGAGAAAATAGACCACAGACAACTTAAAAATTATGTTGAAAGGATTTAAAGAACTATAATAAAGAACAAGATCTAGGGGTGGTTTTTTATGATATACTGTCTCCGGAGGAACACAAACAACTTTGTGTGAGGGGTGTAAGCATCGCTTTCCAACTTCAAGCTCGCTTTTAATTATATGGATGGTGAAATACTAAAATTGTTCATGACTTTTGTGAGACCAAAATTGGAATATGCAGCAGTTATATGGTGTCCATATCTTAAGAAGCACATCAATAAACTGGAAAAAATGTAAAGGCATGCTACAAAAATGGCTTCTGGAACCGAAAAACAAAGAGTTACGAGGAGAGGCTAAAGACGTTAAAAATGCCAAAGCTAGAAGATTGGAGAAAAAGAGGTGATATGATCACTTCCAATAAATAACATGAATCGACCAAACTGACAAAGATGAATTTCTGAAGCCAGCAACTTCAAGAACAAGAGGACACAGAATCAAGCTAGGGGAAACAAAAGATGCTGAAAAAATATTAGAAAGTTTTCTTTTACAACAGTGTAACAGATAGTTGGAACAAGCTAGGTGAGAAGGTGGCGGAGAACAAAACAGTCTGTAGTTTCAAAGCGTTACACAACAAAGAGTGCTGGGAAGAGGGGACACCACAAGTGTATTCTCATCCTGTAACTACACTTAGATAATTACACATATGTAATATATATATCTTGCAGATATTTACAATTTCTTCTACATCATTTATTCTTTATAAATATGGGAGGAGGTTTATAAGTGCTTACCCAACCAAGACCCTCTTGTTCAACTGCTCTAAGTTCCCAGGGCAGTCATAATGTGGGTTGGTGATTGTAATCAAATGAAAATAAAACATCAGAACACTTACTAAGTGATCTTGTAAAATCTGCAATTTTGGCTCCTCTATTTTTAAGTCTCTGTAGTAGGTCATCTGAAGATAATTTCTGTACTAAATATACAGATATGACGTAGCATCGACCATATTCCGACGCCCAAGATACCTGCAAATATTCTACATTACTTATCTCGTCCTTAGGATAAAAACAAACATTAATACAGGGTTTCCCCCATATATAAATGGGTTACATTCTGAAAAGGTGTTCATAAAGCATTTGTTCGGAATATGGAAAGAGATTTTCCATAGTCATAATGCTGTAAATGGTGGGATGCATTCCCAAACCACCAAAAATCACCATAAAACCAATATTTTTTGGGTTAAAAAAAAAAAACTTGGATGATGGAGTTGTCTTGCGTTTCAAAGTTGGCTGTTTTTGATGATTGAAGAGGTTTATTCAATTACATGAATAAATAAATGAAAATACTGTGCGTGTGTATACTCTAGTAAGTCATTAATTTGTAATTTATCACAGGAGTAAACACATCTCACCTTCCTTCCATCACCAAATTCATGGACCCTACCAGGAGGATAGGGTCCATGAAATAGGATGAGAGTAGGGTAGGGGTAGGAAACACAATCTGGTCTTGTTCAAATCAGGAGATTTTGTGGGTCACAGAGGACTTGTAAAAGCTGCCACTCAAATAGTGCCCAGAAACAATATTCCTACCCACCCACTCACACATTTCCAACAGGATAACTGGCAAGACAATACTAGTTCCTAGCTGTCTATCTCCCCAACCTCCCTTCCTGCTCTCCCTCTCCCTGTCATCCTCACTCACCCAGACTCTTCCATCAAGCCCCGTTTCCTCCCCCCAACACCCTCGCATTTCTCACCAATGATACCCTCTCTTCTACCACTGATACTCTCCATCTCCCACCCCACACACACTCATCTGCATCCCAGACACCCTCCAATTCCCACCCGACACCTGGGAACCAAGGTTCCAGACGATTTGTGGATACTAAAGACCTCGACACAATGTGATGTAGACAGACAGGAAGAACATAGACAACAGTCTATAGCCAACAATATGTTGTCTACATAGAATATATACAATATAGACAACAAGAGCATCGTCCTCTCACACATGGGGTCTGCTGTTCGAGTCTCCTAGAGCCCAGGTGAATGACAAGACAACAATCATGTTCACTTTCATCATTGTCATAGCTTTATCCAAGATGGCACCATTTGAAGTGGTCAAGACAGTGAACCTGTGGCAAGGAGCATGCAAAGAAGAAATCAGTTCTCTTGAAATCCACAGGAACCGTGATAAGGGTTCGAACCTACATCCAGATGATCCCAGACACGTCTTAGTCAACTGCGCCACAACATTGTCAAAAGAATTGCAACCGGGAGTGCTACTGCCCTCACACGGATTCCGCAGCCTCTCCGTGACACAAACCAGGGTTTTACACAATTCCCCCCATGCACCCGGGCTCTGTCAACCAGATGTTCTATGTCTTGGTAGAACAAAATTACCAAAATTGTTGATAATTTTGTCAACTTCCTATTTGTGTGAAAAAACTTTTTCAGTCATGTCAGTAATAAATTTTAACAGAAAATCAAATTAATGTTAATACAGCACTTCATCTCTCAGCAACAATGCTTTAATTTTATGACATTAGATTTAATCAATAAAATACTACAGTATCTACATTGGTCTTAGCCGTTAGCCCGTCTGCGATATACCTCTCCCATTTTCACCAGACCGCAGAGGTATAAAACCAGCTTTGAATGTAATGAATCATATTCTGGGTGAGCCCCATCGGCTCCCTGGAGCAATCGGACTGATATTGGCTATTTTAATCTGGGGATTCAGTCATTTGGAGTTCTTATGCCTACTGGGAACCACAAGCCAGAACCTGGTTCACAGAGAGGCGAAGGGTGCAATGGTCTATGAAAACTTCACTCTTTGAGAGAGTATTCATGTCTGCCATCGACCAGGGTTAGGTATCCAGAAAGGTAGGCACCTCAAAACAGACCCCTACTAGTAGAAAATTGCAACCCAAGGCCGAACATTGCCCATGAACTCGCCCCCAATAAAAACAAGGTAACAAACAACTCATCATCAACCCGACGTGCCATTCGTTTGCACCACCCCATCAAGTCGGCCGCTAGACTGCCAGTTCAGAGACTGATCAAACGGAAACAAAAATCACTGACCGGAGGTAGATAGCGTGCCAGGGAGCCTCTGGGGCTCACCCAGAAAATGGCGTTTCATTACATTCAGTGCTGGTTTTCTGTGCGGAGCCCTGTTGGCTCCTCTGGAACTAGATACTCAAAGCTAAGTAAAAGAGGGACTTACCTGGGAGGCGGCAGCACAGCGTGCCTCATGATAAAAACGAGACAACTGACTGCAACCGATGGCCCATGGCCACAAAAGACTGCCGAGGGCCCGGGACGTTCACAAAACAACGGGCGGCTAGGACGCTGTTCAACCTCCAAAACCCCCGTGCCAAAATGTCGGCCAAAGACGTGCTCCCAAAAAAGCAACAAGAGCAGCAAACTTCCAAACATCATGGGCACGAGGGTAGACTGCAGGCTACCTAGGTTTGATAACCCTGCGGATGACCTGAATGTCCTGAGGCCTGGAACAGGGAACGAGGGATACTGGATCAACCCAAAGTGCGTCCCCAGACACCGAATCCGAGGCGTGCAGGTAACAGTGTAAAGCCACAACAAGACACAAAAAATGATGCACCCCTGGCCTGACAACCAAGCATCAATAACCCACGAACCCCTCCAGAAGCCCGCCGTCTCATTCTTTACCAGAAAAGAAGGAGACGGCTGCAAACGAACAAAACGTCCACCAGAACCGAAAGAGCAGAAACTCCTGCGCCGGAGGAGAGCATGAAGCTCATCAACCCAATCTCCAGAGGCCAAAACCAACAAAAACAAGCCTTTTGAAAACATTCTTGAACCAAAGAGGCCCCAACAAACCAAGAAGAAGAAAGAAGAGAGAGTACCTGATTCAAAGACCAGCACAGCCCAGGTAGTGAATCAGCAGGCCAGAAGTGGATAAACGCATGAGAAAGCATTCGAAATGGAGCCAAGGTGACATCCACCCCAAACATAAGCTGCAGCGGCTCTGCCAGCGCAGCAAGATAATAGGCGACAGAATTCAGCGTAAGATGTTGGTCCTGAAAGAGCCAAGAAAGGAAAGACAAAACAACACAAACAGAAACAGAAGTCAACCTCCGGCAAAGCCAACTGAAGAAGACGGTGTTGACTGTTCACCAAAGAGCCAAGGACCAAAGGTACCCTTCCCCCTTAGTTCAGGCAATAAACGACCGGGGCGCAGTCCGAATGGAGCTGGATCGTAGAACCTCGAGCAAGCCAAATCTGCTGCAGCGAAAGCCACACCGCCACAAACTTTCACACACGTTGTGAGCCCGATGGAGCGAATGAGCCCACTGCCTCTGGCCAGCTTGGTGAGCACTGGTCACAAAGCTCCATCCGAGAGACGAGGCTTCAGGGAACAAATTGAGCGAGAGTTCCGGAAGGCGCCAAAGCACCAAACCCTGAAAAACCCGAAGAGGAATTCCCAGACGCAGCAACCGATGCAAGGCCCACCAGTTGATGAACCCAGCGATCGTGGAAGCAGCGAAAGTGACAGTCCCGAAGGAACCAAAACAGATGCCAAAACCAAACCCGATCCAGTGGGTAAACCAGCACGGCGAAGTTCAAACTCCCACACAACTGCTCGAGTAATCGTCGAGTGACCAGAGACCCCCTAAGGAACAACCGAAGACGGGACTGCAGACGGAGCAACACCATAGGAGGAAGATACGTGGATGCTGTCCGAGAATCCCAGACAAAGCACAGCCACCAAGATCAAACTTGGAACGGAACCAAACGGGACTTCCGCCAGATCACCAGGATGCCCAAACCCGGTGAGCTGGGAAATAACTAAGCCCCTGGCGAGCAGACAAGCGGATTGGCAGGGAGCCCAGCCCAACCAGTCGTCGAGGTAACCCAAAACCCGAACACCTAGCAGATGCAGATGGTCTACTACGACCCTGGTAAGACACGTGAATGCAAGGTGCCAGATTTAGCCCGAAGGGAAGGCAACAAAAGCGGTAAGCCTGCTGCCCCACCCTAAAACCTAACCAGCCTCTGAACCCCGGATGAATGGAGACATGCCAATACACGTCCCGTAGGTCCAGAGACTCCATCCAAGAACTTGGCTCCAAGAGAAGCTGGACCTAGGACAGTAGACCTAAACATCAGAGGTCCATGGTTATTCAACATCCTCCCAGCGAGCATAAGAAATATTGCCGGAACAACCGTGGACATCTTCGGGGAAACTAGATAGTTTCCTCCAAGGAGTGCCGGATCAACCGGGCTGCAGTGGGTATGTGGGCCTACGGGCCGCTCCAAGCAACAGCCTGGTGGACCAAACTCTCACAAGTCAAGCCTGGCCTCGGGCCGTGCTTGGGGAGTAGAACAACTCCCAGAACCCCATCAATCGGATATCAACCAGGTAGTCATCCGAAAGGAGGGGAAAGGAATCCAGCGGTTCGGATGGGATAAATCCAGAATGAACCGAAGATCCCCACAGTCCCATTTTGGCACTGGAAACAAGCGAGAAACCCTCTTGAGGGACGAAGTCGTTTTGACAACATCCAAACGCACCCACCCCAGGATGACCCGACCCTCCGAGAGAAGGAGCCGCCGCCCAACACCACCACAAGCCGGAGGACACAACCCATAACGCCCACGAATCGTGGGACCAAGAGCGGGCAAACAGCCCCAGCCTCTTCCCCAGTGCCTCGTCAACAGGCCAACCCGTCAAAGGGCCGACGCCCTTCCGAGAAGCCGACTTACATGCAGAGCGACTACTGCGCCGACCAGATGAAGACAGCTCAGGAGGTGGCATTGTCACAAAAGCTGGCACCAAGGGCCCACCTCGACCTGCAGAGACCTGAACCTTAGCATGATCTTTCTAGGAAGTGCAAGAATGCCCACCCCAGATCACCAACAAATCAGAAAGAGGACAGCAACTAGCAGAAACTAGTTGCTTCGCCTGCAAAAATTGAGAAACAACCAAATCCAAAAACAAGACCAAACAGAAAGGAGACAAAAATTTAAGAGCCAGGGCT